AAAGAACAAATGGGTAGAAGAAATCTCAAAAGAAACTTAAAAATATTTTAAACTACATAAAATGAAAATACAACTTATCAAAGTCTGTGGGATGCAGGGGAAGCAGTGCTTAGGGGGAAATTTATAGCATTGAAAACATTATGTTAGGGAAGAAGAGAGACTTAAAATCAGTAATCTAAGCTTCCACCTTAGGAAACTGGAAGAAGAAGAATAAGTAAGTAAGCAGAAGAAAATAAATAATAAAAATTAGTATTATTGAATAAAAATGAAATTTAAAACAGGAAAACAATAGAGGAAATCAATAAAACCAATGGCTGATTCTTTAGAAAGATCAATAAAATTGGTAAGCCTTTAGCCAGGCTAATCAAGAATAAAGAGAGAAGACACAATTACTAATATCAGAATTGCAAGAGGGGTCATCAATATTGATCCCATGGACATTAAAAGAACAGTAAAGGAATATCATGAACAACTCTATGTCCATAAATTTGATAACCCAAAAGAAATAGACCAACTCCTTGAAAGATACAGTTTACGAAAATTCACACAAGGAAATATAGATAATCTGAAGAGGCCTATAGCTATTAAAGCAATTTAATAAATAATTAATAATCTTCAAAAACAGGAAGCACCAGGCAGGGAGAGATCATTCGTGAATTCTATGAAACATTTAGGAAGCCATTACACCCATTCTCTATAATCTCGTCCAGAAAATAGAAGCAGAGGGAATACTTAACTCATTCTAGAAGGCAGCATTAGTCTAATACCAAAACCAGACAAAGTGAATGCAAGAAAGAAAAACTACAGAGCACAATCTTTCATGAATACATGCAAAATACCTCAACAAATTATTATCAAACTGAATCCAACAATATATAAAAAACATTATACAACATGACCAAGTGGGATTTATTCCAGGTGTGCAAGGCTTGTTCAACATTAAAAGTCAGTTAATGTAATCCATCATATCAACAGGTGACAGAAGATAAATCATATGATCATATCAGTAGATGCAGAAAAAGCATTTGTCAAAATCCAGCACCCACTCATGATAAAGACTTTTTAGCAAACTAGGAATAGAACTTCCACAATTTAATAAAGAACATCTTTAGAAAACAGACAGCTAACATCATACTTAATGGTGAGAAACTAGATTCTCTCCTCCTACAATCAAGAACAAGACAATAATGTTCTCTCTCACCACTCCCATTCAACATTATACTGGACATCCTAGCTAATTCAATAAGATAAGAAAGAAAATAAAAGGTATATATATCAGAAAGGAAGAAAAAAGCTGCTTTTGTTCACAGATAACATGATTGTTTATGTAGAAAATCACGAAAAACAAACCAAAACCTCCTGGAACTAATAAGCATTCAAAACAAGTTCACAGGCTACAAGTCTATTGTTTAGTTTTGTCTGTAATAAAACATCAATAAGTAGCTGGAATTTGAAAGTAAAAACAAAACACCATTTACGTCAGCACCGAAGAAATGAAATACTTAGGTATAAGTCTAACAAAATATGTACAAGATCTATATGAAGAAAACTATAAAATTCTGATGAATGAAATCAAAGAAAATCTAAATAAATAAAGAGATATTCATGCTTATAGATAAGAAGATTCAATAGTGTTAAGATGTCAGATCTTTCTAATGTGATCTATAGATTGAATGCAATCTTAGTCAAATACCAGCAAGTTATTGTGGAAAGCTATTTCAAAAATTTATATGGGAAGGCAAAAGAACTGGAATAGCTAACACAAACAAAGCAAAGTTAGAGGATCAATACTACCTGACTTAAAACATAGTATAAAACTTACAGTTATTGAGACAGTGTAGTATTGGAGAACAAATAGATAAATAGATCAATAATACAGAACAAAGAGCCCAGAGACAAACCCACATAAATATAGTCAACTGATCTTTTACAAAGGGGCAGAGGCAATACAATGGAACAAAAATAGTCTTTTGAACAAATGATGCTAGAAAAGCTGGACATCCATGTGGTTAAAAACTAATCTAGACACAGCCCTTACACCTTCTCAAAAACTAACTCAAAATGGACCATGGATCTAAATATAAAATGAAAAACTGTGAAACTTCTAGATGATAACATGAAAGTGAGAAAATTGAGGTGACCTAGGGTTTGGCAATGAGCTTTGAGATATAACACTAAAAGCATGATTTATGAAAAAAACCTGATATGTGAGACTTTATTAAAACTTATCACTTCTGTTCTGCAAAAGAAACTGTTAAGAGAATGAAAAGCAAGCCACAGACTGGAAGAAAGTATTTGGAAAACATATCTGATAAAGGACTCATATAGAAAATATACAAAGAACTCTTAAAACAACAATAAGAAAGCAACTCAATTTAAAAATGGTCAAAAGATCTAAATAGACACCTCACCAAGAAAGGTATACAGATAGCAAATGAGCATAGAAGATACGCTACATCATACGTCATTAGAAATTTCAAATTAAAATAACAATAAGATACTACTATATACCTATTACAGTGGCTAAAATCCAACACTGACACCACCAAATGCTATGAGGCTATGGAGCAACAGTAACTCTCATTTTTTTCTCTCATTTTTTTTCTCATGACAATGCAAAATAGCAGAACCACTTTGGAAAATAGTCTTACCCTATGATCTGGCAACTGTGCTTCCTGGTATTTTTCCAAATGAGTTGAAAACTTACGGCCACACAAAAACCTGCACATAAATTACTCACTAATAATTGCCCAAACTTGGAAGCACTCAAGATATCTTTAACCACTTTGGGACCAGCGACGACTATAGTCGATAGCCACAGATGAACGCGCACAGAGACTTTAGCCGACAGCCGTGATATGACTTTTCTAATTTTTCAGTTATCAAAATAAAATTGTGAACATTTAAAAATAACGTAATGAAAACATATATGTATATGTTACCTATTCTGATTTACATTACTAGTAAAGCTGCCTGTAAAGTAAAACAAGCTTTCAGTGCTTTAAAGCTTTCCTCATCACACAAGAGCAAAACGGATTTGTCGTCAATGCACAGCACAAACTATCATGTGGACTATGAGTGCCGGCTGTGGGCAAGGTTTCCCGGCCAGTGAGTGCGGTACTGAAGTGGTTAAGTGAATGTGTAAACAAACTATAGTACATCCATACAACAGAATATTATCAACAACAAAAAGAAACAAGTTATCAAGCCACATACACACACACACACACACACACACACACACACACACACACACACACACACAGCCATGCAGGAACCTTTAATGCATGTTACTAAGTGAAAGAAGCTAGACTGAAAACTCAATGTATTAAATGATTCCAACTATATAATTTTCTGGAAAAGACGACACTGTAAGACAGCAAAAAAGATCAGTGGTCGCCAGGGGCTCAGAGAAAGGGAGGAAGAGATGAACAGACAAAGCACAGAGGATTTTTAGGGCAATGAAACTGTTCTGTAGGATACTATCACGGTAAATACAAGACATGCGTTTGTTCAAACCCATAGAACTGTACAACGCAAAGAGGGAGCCTTAATGTAAACTATGAACTTTAGTTAGTGATAATGATTCAATATTGGCTTATCAATTGTAACAAATGTATCATACTAATGCAAGATATTGATAATAGGCAAGTTGGTGGGGATGGAGTATATGGGAACTCTCTGTGGATTTTGCCCAATTTTCCTGTAAACCTAAAACTGCTCTAAACATTAAAGTCTATTTGTTTAAATAAAAATAAGAAAAAAAGAAGTTACCCTAAGAAAAGTTTTAGACCCATCTCTGCTACCAACTAACAGTGTGACTTCAGGCAAGTCATTTAACTCTTCTGAGCTTCATTTTCACCATCTGTAAAATAAAGGGCCTGAACTAGGTGGTCTCTAAGTTTTCCTCCAAATAGAAAATTCTATCATTCTGTGGCTCTAAATATGAATAGCCTCTGATACATATTAAAGTAGAAGGAAAGAGTATTTTGAAAGAAAAAATAATTAATCAATTTAAGCAAAACTTAAAAGTTATAGAATTCCAGCAAATAAATGAAACTAAATATAATTCTGAGATGAATCTGGTGATCAAATGTAATTTATGTGAAAGGAATAACAAGGAAATGAGTCATAAATAGGTATTGATGAATCATTCAGTTCAAGAAGATAGAGATCAAGTTTTCAAAAGACAAATTCAGATGGCTCAGATGTCATGAAATTAAATGGCATGGCCCAAATGATAAGAAGCTTGTCAATACATGGGAAGTCTTTGAAAACTATTATGAAATGCTTTGTGACTCTTGGATTTCTTATGGAGAATTTTCTCATCCTTAGGAATCAGACAATTAAGTCTACAGAGATGCTGAACTATAGACATTGTTTCTGCCAGAGATGAATGGGAATTAGAACTAAGGATGCAATATATGCTGACTAACAGCATTGAACAGTGCTAATGATTAAGCATTAACAGCTTATAATGATTATAAGCATATAACAGCTTAGGATGATTAAGAACCAAGAATAGGTGGGCTTCGTACCTTAGCTCTGCCACTGGCAGGTTGTGTGATTTTGGGAAGTTTACATGCTTTACTCTGTTCCTCTATTTCTTCCTTTGTAAAATGGAGATAATAATAGTAGCCACCCCCAGTGGGGATAAAATGAGTGAATATTTGTAAAGTGCTTAGCTCAAAGCCTGGCCCATAGGGTTACATGAGTGTTTGTTATATTAGAAGATATATTAATTTGCATCCTGGTCTCTGTAGGATTAGTCCACTAGCACTTTTTAAAGGAGACCAGGAAATAAACCAAAATATCTCCTTGTACCATCATTTAGTGGCATGTAAGAGAACATCCTACTTCAATGGTTGAAACAAATAGATGTTTTATTTGTTTGTTTGTTTTTACATCACAAGAAGTCTGGAAGGAGGCTGTGGCTCACATTGGTGCAGCAGCTTATTGAGGTCAGGCTAAATATCCCCGGGATTGTCTGTTCTTTCCCTCTTGCTTATAAGATGACTACCGCAGCTCCAGCCATCATATACACACTGAAGTAGAAAAAATATGGAAAGAGAAGGCCTGCACTTGTAATAACATGTTTCTCAGAAGCCCTAGCAGATTTTGACTTTACTTAGAACCACAATTTGACCCATTGACATCCATGTATTCCAGGTAATCTTCTAAATGTCCTCATGAGTCTGAAAATAATCTCCAACATTTGGAGCCTGCTTGTCAGGGATGTGAGCAGTTCCCTCACTTTTTTGCCAGATGAGTTTCTGAGAGGAATAGAAACTCTGGACGCTCAGCTTTGGAGGTGGGCGAGATGTTAGAACAGGTCTTCGTTCCAACAGGCCTGCTAGGGTAGCAGGTCTTCCCTCGGGCGAGGGAAGCGGGAGTCCTCTGGACTCTCAGTTGGCCAGCTTCACAGATAATTTAAACCAGCTTCTAGCACTTGGCAGGACTGCTTGATGCTGACATGTCTCATGGCAAATCACGTATCTCCTGAAAACAAAACAATGGTGCTTAGTTTAACTTTGCCATACTCCTTTTTTGTGCTGGATGTTTATTGCGATAGTTTCTAAAACTGACTTTCAAACTAGCTCAGTGGATGACTAACACAGGGGACGATAAATGGGCTGCAGACATCTCAGCTGCCCTTCATTTGGGGAAAAAGTTACTTAATATGGTAAGAAGTAGCAACCCATCCCATGATCCCCGCATTCCACATTTCTGGGGTATTGCTTTTTGCAGAAGATACCAATTTCCCCAAAGTCTTGCCTTCTATGAACAAAGATCGGAGTCCAAAATCAGCGGCTTCACATAATCTCAAACTAGGGGGAATAAACTGTCCATCTTACATGAGAGAGGGAATGCTCACTGACAACTGCCTCACCTGTGGATCGGCTACTTAGGTGCGAAGGGCATCCCGGGGCAATCCCTGCTATACAGGGGAAGGTGGCTGTGCTGTGAGGCCCAAGGGATGAGATGCCACAGACCTCAATAAGCTGACACCACAACTGCATTTAGTATATAACATGAAAGTGCTTCCTAGATGGCAAGAACACTATGTCAATAAAGGCATTATAGAATTTCAGCTAGAGCTGGCCCTTGAGAGATAAGTAGAATTTCAAAAGATGAAGAAGGCAATATGAATAATTAGTGCCCAGGGGGCATGGAAGGGTAAGTGTTGAGTTTTGGGGAAAAACAAGTTATTCCTATAATACTGGAATACATAATGATTTAAAACGATGCAGTTATGGAAGTTGAAAAACTGGTTTAAGAGCAGCTAAAGCATGGGAGATGTTGAACGCCATGCTAAGGGAGTGAGATTTCCTGCAGGCCATGGGAAATCGCTGACCATTTTTGAGAAGAGTGATCTGGTCTGATCTATATTTTCAGGAAGATAATTCTGGTGGTAGTGATAAGAGTGACATGGAAACACAAGTGCGGAGGCAGGAAGACCAGTTATGGAGCTAATTCAATGACGCAACAGTAGTAGAAATAGACACGAAGATTCAAATCTGAGAAATGTTGCAGAGAATGAAGTACTGCAATTTTACTGTTGATGGAAAGTTGTGGTGGAAACTGCTAGTGGTCTCTCAATATCTGTTTTCTCCCTTGCATTCGTCTGTTTGGGCCGCCCTAACAAAGTACCACAAACTGGATGGCTGAAACAACAGCAATTTATCATTTCACAATTCTAGGAGCTCTAAGTCTGAAATCAAGGTGTTGGCAGGGTTAGATCCTAGCTTTTAGTGACAGCTGGCTATTCTTGGCGTTCCTTGGCTTGTCATTACTCCAATCACTGCCTGTCTTCACATGGCATTCAATCTGTGTGTCTCTGTCTTCTTTTAAGGACACCAGTCATACTGGATAAGGGTCCCACCCTACTTAAGTATGACATCATCTTAAATGAACTAATTACATCTGCAATGTTCCTATTTCCAAGTAAGGTCACTTTGTTGGGTGCTGGGGCTTAGAACGTTAACATGTCCTTTTTGGAGGACACAATTCAATCCATAACATCTCTCTTCCCTTGCTAATGGAGTCCACATTTGGGGCTTGGCACGTGGCTGCCCAGAACGGGCTGCTTCTCCTGCTGTAGCCACGCGGCTGAACTGTCAGCCAGTGAGGTGTAGGTAGAAGTGTTAGGCAGCAGCTTCTTCTGCAAAGCTTCCTTAAGGGATGGTGGATGTGTGCCCTTTTGCCTGCCTTCATGTTTTCCTCCATCCTGCTTCAAGAAATAGGGTTGTCAATTCCAGCCAAACTAGTGTTAACTCTCATAGATGAGGAGGAGGGATTGAGTAGGATTCTGAGCCTGCCAGGGTTCTGTGGACACCTTGGGTGAGATAACAGGGTGCTCTTTCAAAATGATAATCCAAAAGTTCTGACCTAGGATCACATGAGCTGATCCTAGCACAAAGGTCTGCCTTATTCATTTATTTATCTATTTTTTTTTCTGACACAATTTTTAAAAATTTGAATTGACATGCCTTTACTGAAAAGTGGTATTTGCTTTAGTTTTTCATAGACCCAGTCATGCCCTGTTACCTTACATCCAGCTTTACTTAATTATGATCTCTGAAAAATGTGAGTTTAAGACTTCTAAAATATCCTTTAACTATCCAACACTTATTTAGAATAAAGGCCAAAGATCTCTATTAGAGAAGGATCTAGAAGGATCAGAGAAGAAAGATTCCCTGGTAATGGGAATCTTTATTACCTCTTTATTACCCAGAGCAATTGGGTCCTAAACTGCTAAATACTCCACTTAACAAAACAAAAACTCTGCAATTACTCTGACATCCATTGGGGAAAGAAATTTCTAGAAACCATTTACTGTCACCCTAGAATGCTTTCAAAGATCTCTCTCACTGGTTACCACTATGTATCCAAACAGCTTATGAAAACATTTCTTCTAACATCACATCATCTTACCTGAGAATAATTCTGGTCAGTATATTGCCTTCCATTTGCTATGCTTACAGGGATATTTTAGCACCATTAAGAGACTGGCACTCCCAGGCCATCTGGCTCTGACCTTTCCTGACGTTTCTAACACTTTCTAACACTGCAGACTGGTGCTGTTTCCAAAGTTAGGAACAGTTCTGAGAAGGAAATAATGAGTATAATGAGTGCATGTAGAACTCAAATCACCAATGGCCCATTCAGGTGGCTCGTTCAGAGCAGGAAGGCCACATCACACATCCTAAAGAAGGACTGTCAGAAGAAGTGGGCTTAAACGTGAGTCTTGTTGGATGTGCTGGGTTTGGATATTTCCACATGAGGAGAGAGCACTCCATGCAGGATGAGGAACTTTGGCAGATACACTGTCTCCACTAGGGAGTAAGGGAGATGTTTTAGATCTGTATGAGCTGTACGAAATCTATAAATGACTCATGACTAATCTAGGCTCTACTTTTTGTTTTGTTTTCTTCTTTTCTTTTCTCCCTTCCCTCTTTCCCTCCCTCCCTTCCTTCCTTTTTTTTTTTTTTTTTTTTTTTTTTGATGGGGTCTCACTGTGTTGCCCTGGCTAGAATGCAGTGGTCTCATAATAGCTCGCTGTGATCTCAAACTCTTGAGTTTGTGTGATCCTCTTGCCTTAGCTTCTCAAGTAGCTGGGACCACAGGCATGTGCCACTATACTCAGCTAATTTTTTTATTTTTTGTTGGGATGGGGATCTCACTCTTGCTCAGGCTGTTCTCAAACTCCTGGCCTCAAGAAATCTTCCTGCCTTGGCTTCCTAAAGTGCTAGCTGGACACTACTGTGGCTGGCTGGACACTACTTTCTCTAAAGCTTTTCATTGACCTTCCATAGAATCCTTGATGTTTAGAGATCTTATAATTTAATAAAGTTCTCTATAGCAAATAGGATCCATTTTTAAAATCAGTGGAAAATGTTATAGCCAGCGACATCAATACAACCACTAGTAGCAGCTGCTCATTTGGCCTATAAAAATCAACTATTCTTGGTTAATAGCAAAAAAACCCAAAAAACAAAAAAACAAAAAAGCTGGTTACTCAAATGTATTGGCACTGCATTTTCTATCTAAAGTAACTTAATTTTTTAAAGCTGTAATGAGCATTACTTGTAAGAAAAAAAGAGTAGTTTTTACCTACTTCTTTCACTTAATCTTTCCCAACTGCCTTCCAAGGCAAAAGAACTCTCCTTGGCACCTCAGTTCACACAAACACACATGAACAAGAACACATATTAAGTTATAAAAGTGTGGTTTGTTAATCGGTTTTGAGTTCCAAATCATCCTTAAAACGTAGCTTTCTCAATTCAAAATATGGACATGACAGTGTATTTATTGTGGTGAAAAGCTGGAAACAAACTAATATGCAAAAACAGGGAAAAGTTTAAGCAAAATATATGTCCACATGATGTTATGCTGTGTGATCATTACATATGATTTTTACAAAGAGTTTTAAATAATAAGGGAAAATTCTTAAGGCAAAAAAATCAGTGTGATGCCAATTCTTGTACAGTGATGTCACAAGCAGCTAAGCAAAGTATGTATTATAAAAAGACTGGCAAGAATATGCTAAAATGTACAGTGTTTTCTTTGGGTGATGAGAATAGAGATAATTTTTGTTTTTAAGAACTTTCCTATTTTAATGTTGTAAATACGATACTTTTATAAGGAAGCTCTAAGGGGTCTTTCCTGCATTTTTCCCATGCACAAGCCTCTAAAAAGGGACACATCCTAACTTTCACACTCGAGGTGCAGATAAACAGAAAGGGAGAAAAATAATTTGTCCAAATATATTGATCTTATTAGAAAATGCTTATCTAATATAAATGTAGAACCAAAGGAAATGTGTAAATATTGAATATTGTAAGGATATGCATAAACATTCTTCTCCTATTTCAAGCAAAGACCAGTAGTTACATGAATTTGGCTTCTTGGAATACAACACAAGAGACACAGGAGTCCCTGTCATTTCCAAAATGAGCAGGTATTATCATCACCAGTCATCACCAATATGTCAGACATACTTCCCCATCAAAAAATAAAAAAAGGAAAAACAAGTCTGTATCAGTTTTTAGAAGTATTTAAGGAAGAGTCTTCAGCCCATACACAGTCTAAGTGTAGGAGGTACTGTAATAATCAAAGAATATTAATATAACTAGAAGCTAAAACAGGGTCTTATACCATTCCCTTGGTGTTTCTAATGTTTACTGGTACCCACGAGATGCAACAGGATAAGGCTTTTCTCATCCATTTCCACTAATTGTGTAGGAGAATAAAAATGCTGAAAAATGGCAAGCAAATATTTCTTCTACACATGAAAAACAATATTCTCTAAATCAAATATGGAATCACCATGTAGATAATTACAAGTGAATACTGTATTATAGTTCATAAAAAGATAACCTACTGAGTGACGTTTTAAGAGCAATACCCCATTGTATTATTTACACCGTAAAAACATAATTTGCCATGCCTGTAATCCTAGCACTCTGGAAGGCCGAGGTGGGAGGATCATTTGAGCTCAGGAGTTCGAGACCAGCCTGAATAAGACTGAGACCCTGTCTCTACTATAAATAGAAAGAAATTCCCTGGACAGCTAAAAATACATATAAAAAAAATTAGCAGGGCATGATGGCCCATGCCTGTAGTCCCAGCTACTCGGGAGGCTGACGCAGTAGGATGCTTGAGCCCAGGAGTTTGAGGTTGCTGTGAGCTGGGCTGATGTCACAGCACTTGTCACAGGCCAACAGAGTGAGCCTCTATCTCAAAAAATTTTAAAAAAATAATAAATAAATAAAAATTATAATTTGTGTACAGATTAGTATTTTTTCATAAAGAACACCTGTATAACAAAACTAAGATTGCTAGGTACAGTCTAAAAAGCAGACAGAGCAAACCTGGATAAGTTAATAAATAGTCATCAAGAAATTCCAAACACCATGGACTGACATGCTCATCAATTAGTATGAGTCAAGGTTTACGCAAATGTTTCATTTTTTTAAACACAAAACTATCCCATCATGATTAGCAAATCACAAAATAACAAAAGCAAACCCATTAGAATAGATCCAAAACACTTCTTTGAGTGTTACAGGTATTTATTTTAAAAGAAACTGACCACAGGAATAAATTTTAATGACTTTATGAAAATGTTATTTTATTTTGTATTGGTGGAGACAGGGAGTCTTATTGAGTTTCTAAAATGTAAAGTGGGAAGGGCATGTCAAACTTTGAAAATATCACATTTACTCACAAAACTTTATTAAGGCCTTAGTAAGACAGATAGCTCTTTAATAGATCTACTACTGTTTTTGCAATCTCATAACCATGTAGCATGGACACACAATTTAAAAAAAAAGTAAACACAACGTTTACATGAAGATAAGACTATGAATCATCAGTAATAAATAGTTTTACTCTAGTATAATCTTCTTGTGACATCAGTATTAGCATAATTATGCCAATTTAAAAAATATAGTGGGTCTATTTATTTTGGTGTAAAGCTTGATTGGAAAGATTCAGGGAAACCTACATAATTTGCTTTCTCTTTACCTCTAACCATGCTTTCTCTGCCAGTTCTCACTCCACATCCTCTGACTCAGAGACTATTTGGAGAGGACACCTGTTTTAAATGGATCTACAGGAAATACCTATGTTGTCTTTTCATAATCTGCCCATGCATCTGGTTGGTTGAAATGTGACCATGATTAAAAAAAAAAAGAATGCTGCCCACAGACTGATGCAACTTCAATGTGACAACATTTACTGGAAGGCAGAGGGAATCTAGTTTATATTTAATTTTCTTCCATTAAGTCTGGGATTGTAGTATATGGGAAAAAATAAGTAAAAGGGCAAAACCAGTTTAACCCCCAAAAGATTAGTGTTAACATTGCACACATATTGGTTTTACGTCCAAACTCAGAATGATTTGTTTTTTTAGCTGAATGCAATCTTATAGCTGAAACAATTACCTGACACTATTTTTCTTTATAGCTTTTTATGTATAAACCTCTTGTCCAAAGTTCATATTATATCTTATGTCATACAGATTTGATATTAACAAACCTCTTATAGAAAAGTGCAGGATAGCCTAGCCACCGAAAGAGAAGTTTACGAGGGAGTTTGATAATGATTAATGGTCCTCTGTCAACACTAAAACCCCTACTGGGTCCCAAATCATGCAAGTCACTTCGGGCGCCCAGAGCGCGCGGATTTTCACCCAGAGTTCACACCTCCACCCCGCCCTCCGCTCAGAGTACCCCTCTGGGCCAACCGCAGCTACCCCGGAGGTCGCCCCCGTGCGGGTGGAGCACTGTCCCCAGGGGTCCTCTCCTTCAGTCCGGTTCCCCGCCCCCAGCCCCGGGCTGTGCAGCCTCCCGGAGCGACGCGCGCCTCCCCGCCCGGGTGGCCGTCGGAGGCTGCCCGCCCACTCCCGTGACACCCCAGAGGGCGCCCCCAGCCCGGGTCTCTCGGGGGGCCCGGCGACCGCAGGGGCAGAATGACGAAGGTGACGAAAGAGATGACGCCACGCCGCCCGCCTGGCCGCGGCCGGGCGCCCACAAACGCCGCCCCGCCCGCTCGGGTCGCCCGCGCGCTCGCGGCCGCGTCAGTCTGTTTTTTTACGGAGCGGCGCGCCCAACCGCAGCCCCGCCCCGCGCCGCCGCGCCAGGGTTCCCACGGCGCCCGGCTCCGCGCGCCCGCCGCCCGGCGCCCGCCTCCGCGCTGCCCAGCCGGCCCAGGCCTCTCGCGAACATGGCGCTCGTCCCCTGCCAGGTGCTGCGGGTGGCCATCCTGCTGTCCTACTGCTCTATCCTGTGCAACTACAAGGCCATCGAAATGCCCTCGCATCAGACCTACGGCGGGAGCTGGAAGTTCCTGACGTTCATTGATCTGGTAAGGCCGTCCCTCCCCTCGCCCGCACCCGTTGCCTGTGTGTGTTTGTGGGTGCGCGAGTACCTTCGCGCGTGCGCGTCTCCAGCACCCACCCTTGTGCTCGCCTCTTCCCCAGTGATTGCGTCTAAAGGCCTGGCTGCCCCCGCAGCGGCGCCCCCTGAACCACCCACGGTTACCTCGTAGCTGGGGGACCGGTGGAGGTGGGGCGCAGCCGGGTGGTGGGCTCTTTGGAGGGGGACACAGACTGCTTCCAAAAGACGACACAGGAAGATTCTTCACCTAACAAAAGCATCCGACGACCTTCATCACAAATGGCCTGAGACCCGTCCATTCGCTCTCCAGGTGCTTTCGAGAGCACCCACCGTGGGAGAAACTTGCTGCAACCGAAGGAAACTGGGTAGTGTCTAGTTATTTGGAGTGTCACCTGAAAAAGACCCAAATCCTCCTCAGACGGGAGAGAAAACACTTAATAAAGTTGTCATTTTTTGCATCTGTTTTTTCCCTTTGTCAGTAATTTACTTCCAGCTTTTTCCCCAGAAACAGGGGGAACGAATTTCAAAATGCATTTCCAATGTGTACACTTTTCTCTGTTTTCCCATGTAAAAGTTTGCAATAGTTTGCATAAGCAGCTCCTCTGTTGGCACAATATGAGTCTTGACAGGTGCAGGTTATTGTTATTTTTCAAGGTTATATACTTCTGACACTAAAAGAGTCCCCACAGAGAATCAGAACATAGCATAAGGCCCAATAACGACGTGGGTGGACTTATGAATTTCAGGGTGAAAGGTGACTAAGATGGTGTAACACACACTATAGGATTATCAGGAAGAGGGTTGAAACAAAAGCAACGAAGTAATTAGAGAACCGTGTTCCAGAAAATGTAGAACCCATTCCAAAATTGTATACAAAATTGGCTACGCCAGCAAGATTATAATCTCTTTTTTTGACCCTCCATTTTGAAGAAGAGAACTTGATACTATTGTAAGGTATTTCCAATGGTTTAGGCTGCCTCAAAGAAATCCAATCAGAGGCTTTTGGTTTAGAAATACCACCTTATTATTTGCATTTTATTAAATATTTTCAGAGAGGAATTTAAATTCTTCTCCCAACAGTCTCCAAACTGTGCACGTACCCCCAGGCACACAAGACTTCCCAGGGCATAGAGCGTTGCAGGGGTTTCAAATTTCAGACCCTCCACTTCCAACTCTTTCTTGAAACTATTCTGCCTCTGAACGTGAATGATACTGCCAGTTCTCCTTTCTCATTCCCCTTATCCACGTGAGGAGCACATGACAAGGCTCTGTACTGTGTTTTATTCTGTTCCTTTTAGCATTCAGAATATAGATGGCTGTCACCAGGACTATCTTCATACTTGATTGAAAACGAAGATGGAGTTGTTTTGACAGAAAGTCTTACTGGGTTGATTGGCCTTGTCAATGAGGATCGACTTTGCCAGTTATGTTATGTAGCAGACATTTTCCATAGATTGAGCTAAATCTGCAGCCCTGAGGTTCTGATACATATGTATATAAAGCAAGTATACCATATACAGAGCGTCACAAAGCATGTCCCTCTTTTTACAAGTGTTTAAATTTATGTTAAAGATGTTTAGATGTTATTTAAAAATATGTGCATATCTTTTCAGAATTCCTTTAGGGGCTATGTGAGCAAAACTCCTTTTGGATTACTGCCTGACGCCATTCCTAAGTCAGATCTCACACAGAGCTGGCCCATTTGAGAGTTGTCAAGGAGCAGCGCTGAGCTAGAATACTAACAGAGCCGCTACCAGAGCCCTCGGTACCATACACAGCTCTCTGTAGCACCTTGCAGAAGGTGCTATTTTGGGAGCAGAGGGTGGGGTCAGGTGAGGTGGTAGAAACTGAGGGTGTTGGTTAACCTGAGAGAGATTTGACTGTTTCTCACATTCACATTGCTTACTGCATATTAAAAACAAGGCTCACAGGAAGAATATACCTCTCATAACCTTTGTATGACATTAAACTGTAATAGAGTCAGTTTGATATGCTTATCATACAGTTTATATTTTAGCATTCAATAATTAGACTTGCCTGTTTTATATAACACTAATTATCATAATATACTTTCTTTTCTATCCCAAAATTCAGATAGTAAATTCAAATTTGAAACTTTTACTTTGTTTCATATTTAGTTCCAGTATGTATAGGGCCTTAAGCCAGTGGTTCAAACTTTTTTTACTTTGTGGCTCTTGATTGAAATATAATAATTATCTCTAACCAAGAGTTCCTTTGAGAGAGTATGTCTAAAATATATTCATAAGAACACTCATGCAAAGTGTTATTCTTTTTATTATTCAAGATTTAGAGTCCTTAGAGTTTAAGCATCGCACAGCTGTTAAAACAACCAACCTGTCAATCCCCGGTAATGGCATGAAAAGATTAGGCTACTATAATTTAGCCGTTTAACTTTTTATTTTTTATGTTAAAAAGCTAGTAAACTTTATTACCTAGTGCCTTGTACAATTTTAATGATTCTAGGTTTACTGGAGTAATTTTGGAAGAGGACTTAGCTTCTCAAAATTTTAATGAGAAGGCCCCTTTTTTAGCCAGTATGCATTGCAGGGAGTCAGGGCGTTTATCCTAACGGCCATAGTTGGATTCCATGTTCCATGGCATCAGTTTACCAGGATGTGAGTCAGGAATCTCAGGCTACATGTATCTGGGAGCATATGGTTATGTGGTAGTGGTCATTCCAGCTGTGTTCTTTTCAGGTAGGAGAGTCATTCCAATAGAATCAGAGCTCGTGGTCAAAATCTGAAATGTAGATTGTTGCTACCGTTAATCTAACACTGTTGTTTCCCAATGGCTCCTTTTCCAAGCAGTGAAAAACTGTAACAGAACTATAGTGCTTTTGGAAAATTCAAGTTAGTAAATGGAGAAGGAACACTGGTTTGGCATGGTAGGCAGAATAATGGGCCTCCAAAGATGTCCACATCCTAATGCCTGGAACCTGTGAATATGTTAGGTTACATGGCAAAGGGGAATTAAGGTTGCAGATGGAATTAAGGTTGCTAATCAACGGACCTTAAAATAGGGAGATTATCCTGGATTATCCAGTTGGGCCCAGTATAATTACAAGAGTCCTTAAAAGTGGACTGGAGAAATAAGAAGAGACGAGACTGCTAGAGGAAGATAGGACTGGGAAGGAAAGTCACAGGAAGATGCAGCTATGCTGGCTGTGAAGATAGGGCAGGGGCACAAGCCAAGGTATGTGAGAGGTGTCTAGAAGCTGGATATTCTAGAGTTTTAAAGTTCTAAAGTCTAGAACTTTCCTCCTAGAGTTTCTAGAAGGAATACAGCCCTTTGACACCTTGGTTTTAGCCCAGTGAGACCTCTTTTGGACTGGTGGCCTCCAGAATTGTGAAATAATAAATTTGTGTTGTTTAAGCCACTAAATTTATGATAATTGATCACCGCAGGAATAGAAAACAAGTGCACTTGGCTTTAAAGGCCTCTGACCTAGAAAAAAAACTTAACTGTTTTTGTACTTATATAAAATAAGCGCAGTGATTCAGCTAGTCTTTTATGTATATTGATAACTGGTTAATTTTAGCTTTAACCAAAATATAGGTTTTGCCTTCTTCCTCCATGAAACTGTGCAGAGGAGACACACATATGTGTAACAATGGGCAATATGGGAATCTATAAAGACTGAACAACATTGGAAAAACTAGGTCTTTCCTTTACTCTGAAGTATTTCAGAAAATATCGTTATGTAACATGCCAGGCCAGGAGAAAGAATACTCTTAACTGGGAACAAGTTGGAAAGAAGGAAAATTTAAACTGACTGATGTTCAAATATTTCCTTAGTCAATATCGCAGCTGATGAAATTTTCTTTAAATGATGCAGATTAATTCACTTATTCAATAGCTAAATGTTAATTCTCCAAGTTACATAATAATTGCTCCCAAAGATAATAAAAAAAAGAAGCAGCAGAATAAAACCAGCATAAATAATTTAAAAGAAAAAGGCAGCCATATTTTGAGGCCTCAGAGTAGTGGTTGGAGTATATAATAGGTGTTTAGTCAATGTTTGAATAAATGGAAACTTTCTGTGGCCAGATTTTTAATGAGTATTCTTTTCTTGTTCTTAACAAAACACAGGATAATAGCAATTAAAAAAATACATCAACCAAACATTCATTCACATTCAGGTATATAGGGCAGACTGTCTAACATATTAGTCAGAATCAACTTCCTTGAAAACCATGACCTGCACAGCTGTTATTAGAACTTAAATTAATATTGATATTGTATTTAAGACTTCTTGATTTTTAAAGACTGAAACAGAGATCTGGCCAGCCCATTTGCTCTAGTTTGTGGTACTCACCATTTTGAGAGTCATCATTTCTTAGGGTTATATTGTACTCATTATTCCTCCTGCCTTGACTTTTCATTCATGCTTTGGCAGTCTGTTGCTGTTTGGGCTCCGCCTACTCAGAGTATGAGCTGAGAACCAGTGGGATCCACTTTTTTTTTTTTTTTTTACTTTTTAACAGTTTATTTTGTTTTTTATTTTTTTCCTCATTTTATTTCATTATATTATGGGGGTACAAATATTGTTGGGGTTACATATATTGCCCCTGCCACCCCACTTCCCCTCTGTGCCAACGCTTCCAGGAGCCTGTTAGAAATGTGGCACCTCCAGCTCCACCCTAGACCTTCTGAATCGGAATCTGCATTTTGATAAGATCATTAGGTGATTCCTATGTACATTCTAGTTTGATAAGTGCTGCTCTAGGCCACACTGTTTTTGTTTTGTACTTTAATATGGAACACCTGTGGGACGCAGCCTTCGTATGCTGATTCTATCTACTTTCAAAACATACTTAAGGTGACTTTCACTGTGACATAATTAAAATCATGTAAAAAATTACAACTTGAAAATAAAAGAAAGTGAAAGATACAGATCAGGCATCAGAGATGAGTTAGTTGTTGCAATTGAGAAACAAATTGAGATTA